AAATCAAATGAATCTAAGTGAGGCAAAATAAAAGCGTCTGACAAAACTCAAAAAAGTTACGGTTAGAATGAGAATTATCTTTGATGAAAGACCACTTTCAAGCCTACGATTTAATATTTTAAAATAGGTCCGAAACATCGCAAAAAGCTCCAAAAAAAGGATAGCATTTCACATATTCCATAAATTCTAAACGACCGCCACTCAAACAATGTCAATTTTCCTCTTCTCCACTGATCTAAATTTGTCAGTTCTAAACCAACTCGAGAAACTCTTCCACATTACCGTCTCGCTCACACGCTCAATCCCTAGCCACCTAAACACTTTCATCCATATAACCTCTGCCACCTTACGATGAAAGAAAATATGGTTAGAATCTTCTTCAAATTAGAAACATATCGCGCATGTCAAGTCGTGAGGTGAGTGAAGGATTCCTCTTCTAGCATGTTGGTCCTTCGTTAATATTTGTTTAGAAAGCATCTCCACACCAGGATTTCATCTTTAAAAGGAGTACATGTTTTCCAAACGTTGGAAAAAGACTCAATCAAATCCTCTTCGACGTTGTCGACGATCTTGAGATCCTCCAATATTCCATTACCAGACTTGACTGTATAACCAACCATCACATTAGGTTTCCAAACGACTGTATCAGCAACCCCTTCCACCTGTAATGGAATGTCCAAATCAATAAAAACTCTATTCAAGTAGGTAGCAAAATAAAAGGCATCCTCAACCGATAAACCAAAGTCTTCCCACTCCCAAATGCCTTCTATCCAACTCTCCATATTGTTAATATGACTTTCTTGCATACTGCTAGACAAGGACCGGTCTGGATAAATGTCCTTCAACAGTTTGTCGCTGGACCAAACATAATACCAGAAATACACTAACGTTCTGTCACCAACTTTGAAGCCAATAATGCTATAGAAAGAGGAAGAATAATCTGCCTTGTTATAGTCAGACACCAACAAATCCTCCCACCAAGAAGAACTATTCTTTTTGGAAGACAAAGCAGACCCTGTTTGAAACATTCAGATTAAAATTTAAAAGTATATTTAGTTTACAAAATTATTAGCATATATTAAGCTAACTACTAATAGAGTTACATGAGCACAGTTGTATATAGCATGGTTGTACCTTATCTTGTATATATTGATTGTGTATATAGATAATTGGACAACAATGTAAAAGTGTGTGTTGCGGTGAGAATCAGATATCAAGCTATTGAATTAACTTGAATCACAAATCTGTAAAGTTGATCACCGAGCTTCGTTTTATCCAAAGGAAAGGAAAAAGATCGAAAAAACCCTAAGTGCGTAATGTAACAACAAACCTAAGAGATCTAAGGTTCGGGGGTTGGTTATACCTAGGGAAGGTGTTAGCATCCTAAGTATCTGTAGTACTCTACAAGAACCTCCTATTTGTATTTGTGTTATGTTTATAGTTTGCTTTCTAAGGAAAATGTGCTAAGGAAAAGACCTAAGGTATTTACTAAGTATGCTCACCAAGACATCGCATCTCGTGCCTACGTATCCTAACAAGGATGAAATCAGAGCATTTGTAGTTCACCTCACTTGAGGTGAGGAACTCTTGATGATAATCAAGGTTCCAAGGGAGAGGTAAGCGTCCATATCAATGACACTTATATAGAGTTAAAAAAACTCTAATTCTAAGGCTAGGATAAAAGGCGAGGTAAGTGTTCATAGTAATGACACTTACATAGAGTTAAGAAACTCTAATCCTAAGGTTCAAATGAAAAAGGAGGTAAGTGTCTATAGCAATGACACTCACATAGAGTTAGACAACTCTAATCCTAAGGCTAGGATGGAAAAGGTAAAAATCTAACAAGGTCTCAAGGGAATGGTAGGCAAGGCTAAAATAACTTATGACAATAAGTCAACAAGAGGGATATCTTTTCCTTTGGAGTTAAGAAGAGATTTGGATGCAAACAGAAAGGAAAATCTATGGAAGACTGAATCTTAAATGTCGTCATGCAATGATGGTCCTAAAGTCAAGAATGAAGGAAAAATGCTAACCTAATGTTGTCATGCAAAGATTGGGAACCTAAAATCTATCCTACTCCAATCTTAAAAATTAAGTTGAACTAGGATGTCTTAAGGGAACATGAAAATACAAGTTAGCAAATAAATCAAGAATAATCATCAGGCACATCCATAATTAATTAAAGGTATCAAGAATTTCATGACATCAAGGTTTAATCACAAAGCTACATCAATAATGAACCACGAGACAAACCAAAGGATTGATTCAACAAATCATGAAAATTTGTTCAAGAAAAATATGGAAAAATAGTTCATAGTCAGTTATTAATCATCATAATTATGAAGACTAATCAAAACAAACAACACGAAGAAAAAAATTTATCAATAGCAAAAATCTTTGAACAAAGTCAACAAAAAATTTAAGAAAGTAAAAACACTAAGCAATAATTAACAAAAGATTTTAAAAAATGATTAATAGAAATCTAAATGTTAATTAATAAAAAGTTTAGAGAAAACTATTAACAAAAGAAAATTTAAAGAAATACTTAACAAGTTTAAATAATAAATAATAAAAACCTAAGTAATAACTAACAAAAATAACAAAAACATTAAAGAAAAATAAAAAAAGGGGGTGAAAATGTAAATTCGTAGAGTGTGAACAGAGAGAGCTATACAGGCTTCAAATAGCCCATGACAAAGTCCAAACCTATCAAAGAAGAAACTAAAACAACAAGGGAAAAGAGGAGAAACGTGAAAATAGGATGCTGCCTCTTCTCAAACTCATCTTCACATATCCAAACCACCTTCTCGGAACCTTGTTTGGCCTTCACCTTCTTTTGCTAAAGCTTTAACCAATCGTGGTATTTCTCTTCCCTCAAAACCCTTTCCTTCTTTGATTAATCTCACTAATTTCTCCGATTCTCTATCCATTCACATTCTCGCTCTTCCCTTTCTCAGCCTCACACATCCTCTATGCTTCAAGTCCGCCTCTCTCTCAATCACGGTGGTTGTGCTTTGATCCACTTTTCAAGATGAGAAATTGTTTCTCTGTCTTCGAAATTGTGACATTATGTTTTCAAAATGGAAAAAAACTTGCAATGGGTTGTGGAAACGTTGTTGCTTTTTTCTCAACAGTGGTGGTCGAGTTAATGATAAGGTAATAATTGTTGTTAAGGGTGGCTTCAATGACAGTGGAAATTTTAAAGAGAAGCTTGACGAAGCATCCATCAATCACATCTGCGGCTAGCTTACTTCAACTTTTTCAAACTTTGATTATTGTTAATTTTATTTTGGATATGATTTTTCTGTTGATGATGAAAAAAGCAGCGGCACTGTCGCAATTTTTTGGTGATTCTTGCAGCAGCGAAAGTGGTGATTTCTAAGGGAGGTGTTTGTGTTTGATCGTGTGAGAGATGTTGGTGGTGAGTGGAAGTCTAACGTGATGTTGAGGTTGAAATTATGGTTGTTGTAGGAGTTGTTACATGGTGGAGGGCGATTTGAGAGAGGTGAGCATGGAGGTTTTTGTGAGGGAACTGAAGGTGAGCAGTGGGAGTGTTGGGTGTGAAACGGAAATGAAGAAGTGTGAGATATAAGAGTTTGGTTATTTGGTGAAGGTGCTTTCACAAGCTCAGAACAATTAATCTCTGTTCCAGAAGGCACAAATTGATCGTAGAGAGGTTTTGGTTTTACAGGTTGACTTTTGTCATATTAAAATGATTCTGTACACCCCAAACCTTTCTTACCATTTCTGCTAACTCTATAGATCATGGAAGAAATCTTACTTCTATCTACGCTTTTAACCAGAAAGTGCTGGAATGCTCTATCATATTTATTGACATAACAAGTATCAGAGACATTTGAGACTAATTCTTCTTCTAGTTTAGAAACTTTGTTTTTGAAGGCACAATTACTATTTTTTTAAAGAAAAAACATCTTCATTCAAAGAATAATTATTCTATTCAAGCTAATCTCGGGCTTCAGAAGTAATTACATGAGACTTTTTAAGATCCTTGTATTTACTTTGAAGAGTTTGATATCTTTCTAGCATTTCTGAAAGACAAGACTCTAATTCAAAACAAGAGAGTTTAAATAATACCTCTGAGTCTGAGTCTGATTCTGATTCTTATCCTGATAGCATTTTGTCTTCTAGTTCTCCAGAGACTTCAACATTAATTGTCGTTGCCACTAGTGTAACACATGTTCTTCATCAGATTCTTCTTCTTCAAAATCAGAGTCGTCCCAAGTTTCCATGAGTCCCTTCTTGACTTTGGTGAAGTTCTTCTTTGGCTTTTTGTCTTTAAGATTTGGACAAACATTCTTTTAATGACCCAACTCATTACACTCATAGCAGTTGACTTCTTTTCCAGAGCTCTGTTTCTTCTGTCTAGATGATGAGTCATCACGACTTTTGTTTCTTCTTGATCCTCTAAACTTCCTTTGCCTGTGTTTCCAAAGTTTGTTGATCCTTCTGGAGATAAGTGATAGCTCATCTTCTGAGTCATCATCATAATCTTCTGATTCTTCCTCAACTTGATAAGCCTTTGCCTTTTCAAGTTTAGACTTAAGAGAAATAGATTTTTTTCCTGAGATTCATCTTCCTCCAACTCTATCTCATGAATTCTTAAAGAACTAATCAGTTCTTCAAGACTTATACTATTCAGATCCTTGGATAATTTAAGAGCAGTTACCATAGGTCTCCATTTCTTGGGAAGGCTTCTGATGATCTTTTTGACATGATCAGTAGTTGAGTATCCTTTGTCCAGAACTTTAAGTCCTGCGACTAGCATTTAAAACCTTGAAAACATATTCACAACTGTTTCATCATCCTCCATTCTGAATGCCTCATATTTCTGGATTAAGGAAAACTCCTTTGTCTCCTTAACTTGAGCATTTCTTTCATGAGTCATTCTTAGAGAATCAAAAATGGACTTGGCAGTATCTATGTTTGTTATCTTCTCATACTCAGTATAAGAGATAACATTTAGCAGTATAGTTCTTGCCTTAGAAAAATAGATCATAATAAAAATGATAGAGCAAAGAGAAAGAGATCAAATTTTCCAAATAGTCGCGTTCTTTTGCAAAATTTCTCATTTCATGTATCTCTACTTCATATTTCTGACCTTGTGCTCTTCCTTCGGCTGATATTGATCGTATACCAACCTGTGAAAATAAATTAATCAGTTAGAAGCATGAAAAAATCTATATATGCAATATAATTCACAAATTATAACCATAATTATGGTTATTGCAGATGCTATGAAGCGCATTTAAGCCATTGCACAGTAAATATTAATTAAAAAGTATTTGAATTAAATTGTTGAGAGATCGATAAAGTTAAGATTTGAAAAAAAAAATATCTGCACTAGTCTATTGACATATTTGCCTTCCATGATTCGAGCAAAGGGTGAAGCATGTGAATAATAGTTATCTTTAAAGTTTTCATAGAGATCAGTATGTCCATCAAAATGAAGAATATCAACTGGTCCTTCAAGCTTTTCCGAGACAGCTCTAATAACAGGATATAATATTGAGTGATCACCTCCCAAAACTAAAAAACGCAATGGAGCCTGCAAGAATACAATTATTCCAAAACTATGAGAATAAAATAAATTCATGTAATTAATATCATAAAAAAATGAAGAATATTATTAGTAAGCATACATGATTCATTACTATCTCGACAGAGACACTAATAAAATTCATTAATTTATCTCCACTAACTCCTAAATTTCACATATCTTGAACAGGGATATCACCCGCATCTGCTAACACATGTGGCTCAATTAAATCCTTGCCTGAAAAAAAATGCGGTGACCTGAAATCAATCTTAAAAACATATATAATAAATTTCTAAGTTGAACAACAAAGACTAATTATACATTGTGTCCTAAAGGCACAATGCAGCACTTCATGATATGATGCATTGTGTCCTAAAGGCACTCCAAGAAGAGTTGAAGTTGCTATAGTTGCATTTATCCAGACGAGCCCTCTCGCAGTTTCTTTCTAAACAAAATTAACAAATTTTCTACTTTTATAATGTGTTGAAATTTAGTGACCAAAAAAAATCTCTCTAGTTCTCTCTGTCACAAAATTTAATGATAAATTAAAGTGGAATAGTTTAACATTTTTCTCTTTAATTTTTTCTCATTTATTTCTATTTTATAGTAGTTGTATAGATAAAACACACATGATAGTATTTGTATTAGAATAAATTTATTAATTATAGATATTTAATATGGACTCGATCCAAAAATAAATATTCATATTTTTATTTAGATAGATTTATCAGTTGTATTGATTCTCATTTTTTGTGTCTACGATTTTTAAATAACTAAAATTGAACAAATTAGAGATAAGTTTAAAAAAATTATGTTATATTAAAATTCAAATCGTGTAGTGGATTTCATCTATTTTTTTAATGACAAATAATTCAAAATAAGTCAGTTGAGGAAATAACTTACCTTAATCTTTGCTTTTTCCTTAAGATATGCAAGTGATGCTTTGATCACACTATCTTGACCATCTTCTGTCAATTTAGCTACTTTTTCTTGAGTTTGGGAGAAATTGGAGCCTAATGCTGTTGTACTTGAGATCATCTCCTGTAATAAAGGAACAAATAAAACATTCAGCATTTTATAATTTGGCACTGAATTATTTGGTTGTTATGGAAAATCCATATAATGATATTGTGTTTTTTAATGTGTCGATTAAGCGAAGGCGGTGAAAGAAATGAGCATTCTTATGATATAAAAATAATATTTTTTTAATTTTGTGATTAATTTTATCTTTTCTCTCAATAATTTGAGAATCATACTCTTAGTTTCATTAAATACGACTTTCAGCAGAGTATTTTAGATTATTTTTATGAATATCGGTTATCTATTTGATGATAGACTTTTTTTTTTTAAATTAATAAGTGAGATGTCGTATATTCAATTCAGTATCTCTATAATGGATTTTTGTGATCAACTATCAATTCAGTTGATTTAACGAAATTATATATATATATATATATATATATATATATATATATATATATATATATATATATATATATATATATATATATATATATATATATATATATATATATATATATATATTACTTTTGTATCATTTTTTTAAAAGTATATATGACATAATTTATTTTTGCCTCAACATTAACTAAAATAGTAAAATAAAATGTTTTTTCTTACCTTAAAATTTGTTTTTCCTTGAAGAAGCGAAGGTGAACCATGTATCTCACAAATTGCTCTGTCTAGTGTCTGCTTTAAGCCTCTGCTTGCCACAATTGACATCATTTTCTGCATCGAAACACATATAACATTTTGAATATTTAGTTTGTTAAATATATTTTTTCATCTTACAAAGATATCAATTTTTCTTTTAGTTTCTATAATATATATTTAATTAATCCTTGCAAAATACTTTTGTTTTTAATTCTTGTTGTTTATTTTTAAAGTAAAATGAATAATACAGATATTTTACAAAGAATAATTTCCACATGAGCAAATTAATGAATACAAAATTAAATGAAAAAATATACTCTACAAATTCAAATGACATTTTGAAGTAATATATACTTGTAGACAATGACGTGTTGTTACTGAGAACCAATTTTTCTAGTGTAACCGAAGGATATAACAAAGAAAATGACCAATTTATGAAACTCACTACTATGTTCCTCTTTCATTTCGTTGGTACCGAAGATTTCCAACCTGCAACAGTTTGAAGATTTTAGGCCAATTACTCTGATTAATTGTATCTTCAAGGTTATCTCCAAGATGCTTGCCTGCAGAATGAGCAAGGTTATTCATAAACTTATTTCTCCTTCTCAAACAGCTTTCATTCTGAGTCGGCAAATTTACGATGGGGTTCTGCTGGCCAACGAAGTAACAGATTATGCTAAGAGATTTAAAAAGGAATGTCTGTTTTTCAAAGTCGACTTCGCTAAAGCCTACGATTGTGTCGACTGGCTTTACCTTGATGAAATGCTTGTCAAGATGGGTTTTGGTCCTAATTGGTTAAAATGGATACGAGGATCTGTGTTCCATAGTTACGTTTTGATTCTTATTAACGGAAGTCCTTCGAAGGATTTCAAGGTTGGAAGGGGTCTGAAGTAGGGGGACCCTTTGGCTCCGTTTCTGTTCGCCATAGTAGCAGAGGGTCTGTCTTGTTTAGTCAGAGCCGCAGTTGCCAGTAACTTGTTAACAGATTTCAAGATCAATGATCAAAATTCTGCAAACATGCTTCAGTTTGCCGATGACACTCTGCTTATAGGAGATGGTTCGGTTATGAATATATGGGCTTTCAAGGCTGTCTTATGTGCGTTCGAATTGATTTATGGTTTGAAAATTAATTTCTTTAAAAGTTGTCTTTATGGGATAGGAGTAGACCCTGCTTTCCTTGTTGCAGCTGAAGAATTTTTGCACTGTAAATCTGGCAGGCTGCCGTTTAATTTTCTCGGTCTTCAGGTAGGAGGAAATCATCGTCGGCACTCATTCTGGAATCCAGTTCTGTCTCGTATGAGGAGTAAGCTATCAAATTGGGCTGGGAGAAATTTGTCAATGGGAGGTAGAATATCCCTCATTAACTCAGTTTTAGCTAATTTGCCTATTCATTACTTGGCTTTCTTCAAGGCTCCCAAGAAAATCGTGAATGATATTATCGCAATCCGACGGCTTTTTCTTTGGGCTGGGAACTCTAGTAAAAATTTCATCTCTTGGATATCTTGGAACTCCATCTGCAAGTCGAAGGAATACAGAGGTCTTGGCATTAAACACGTAGGTCGTTTTAATTGTGCTCTTATAGAAAAATGGTTGTGGAGATTTCAAAGCGGTGGAAATGAAATTTGGAGAAAGACGCTCAATCTCATATACGGTAACTTAAGCATGAAGGTGCAAACTTTCGCCGACGTTGGTAGCTCGAAATTCGACTCTCTTTGGATGAAGGATATTCTGTCAAGTTCAACCTACGACTTCAATGTGGATTTCTGCAAGTTTACGGCTTGCACTATTGGAGAAGGTCATAGTACGGAGTTTTGGCAATCTAATTGGATTGGAGATTTACCGCTTAAAAGTAAGTTTCAGCGGCTGTTTCAGGGCTGTTCCAAGAAAGTTTCGACCGTCAAAGAGATGGGAAATTGAGAGGATGGTCAGTGGGTTTGGAAAGTTAGAGAAACATTGATAGATGAGAGATCCAATATTGAACCAGATTGGACCGACTGTAGTAATCTATTGGATCAGGTGGCAGCCAACAACAATGTCGCCGATAATTGGAAATGGCTTCTTCATGATTCACTTTCGTATAAGGTAAGCTCTTTCTATACTGCTTTATCCTCTTCTGCTTCTGTTCACAATATTGGTAGCAATAGCGCTACACTTCTAGAGATCCTTTGGAAAACAATGTTACCGGTAAAAGTCCAAACTTTTATTTGGAGGTTGGGGCTTGATAGGCTGCCTACCAGATCTAATTTGATGAAAAGAAAGGTGATTGATTATTCCCAACATTCGGATTGTGCGTTCTGTTCGTCAAGCTACGAGGACGTTTCACATTTCTTCTTCTCGTGCTCTAAATCATCGTTAGTGTGGAATAAGATTTGCGACTGGGTGGAAATAGAGAACATCTCGGGGGATTGTTGTAGTTTTCATGCGAAGGTCTGGAAATCGAGACTTCTGGGCCGTTGTAAAGAGGACAAGATCAACTCAATTTGGTTCATTTCTTGCTGGAGTATATGGAGGGCTAGAAATAACATTATTTTCAGTAATGAAACCATTGACGTTGAGGACATTGTTACTGATATTAAAGTTATCTCGTGGAATCGGTTGATATTAGGTAGACAGGAAAGTTATCAGTGTAGCTTGTATGAATGGTTTAAATTCACATTCGATTTTATGTAATAGTCTTGTATTAGGTTTTGGTTGTATTCTTGTTGTTCAGAGATTTTCTTAATCTCTTTAATATATTTTTGCTTATAAAAAAAAGCATAGGGAATAACCTAGCTATTTATAGTGTGAGATAACTTATATTTCTAACGTATTGATATTACATGTTTAGATATTGTTGCGTATTATTTAACTTATCATTACTTGGATATTGTGCCGCATTTGAAGCATACAGATACAGATAATGAAAATGGGAAAACGGGACAATACTTTTAATGTTGAGGCTGGTAGGACCCTCGAACATAAAAACACACAACAAGTGGAAGCAAATTGAAGCAACAAGGAAATATTGGCCCTAAAATGGAGTAGGTATCAGCTCCATTTGTTAACATTTACAGTTATTTGGTTCTTTATTTAGATATGCTACATCTTTTTTAATGAAGGAATTATATTATGAGAGTTTTAGGTATATTCTAACTCTTCTTACAAGTGAAAAGAGAAAATCTAAATCAAATGAATCTAAGTGAGGCAAAATAAAAGCGTCTGACAAAACTAAAAAAAGTTACGGTTAGAATGAGAATTATCTTTGATGAAAGACCACTTTCAAGCCTACGATTTAATATTTTAAAATAGATCCGAAACATCGCAAAAGGCTCCAAAAAAGGATAGCATTTCGCATATTCCATAAATTCTAAACGACCGCCACTCAAACAATGTCAATTTTCCTCTTTTCCACTGATCTAAATCTATCAGTTCTAAACCAACTCGAGAAACTCTTCCACATTA